GGTTTTGAATATTTTGGGGGGGGTATTTTGCGCAAATACGCTGCTTATTTGTAGCTCTGGGTGGTCACTGCTTGATCACCTGTGTGAATGTTTTGTGTGGATTCAATGTGTTGATAACCCCCAATTCTCTACAGCAGGATATGTGGGAATAAGACTGAATGTATACTGCCTGCAAGTCTGAAGCCCAAGTGGGGCGGTCGGGTAGCCTAGTGGTTAAAGCGTTCGCTCGTCAAGCCAAAGACCCAGGTTCGATTCCCGACGTGGGCACAATGTGTGAAGCCCATATCTGGTGTCCCCCGCCGTGATATTGCTGGAATATTGCTAAAAGCGGCGTAAAACCATACTCACTCACTCACTGAAGCCCAAGTCCAGTTACAACTGTTGGTGTATCGACAGGTGTTTCACACAGGTGTCAAGTCTCATTGGTCAGTTAGATAAAGATAACAATGAGCAATCAATCAACGTATCATCAGTTAATCCTTTAAACAAGGCATGTTGTTTTTACATAGGCACTTCACGCCCAGACATGGGTGTATTCCGTCTGCTTTGGTAAACCTACACATGGAAACACTTACTTTTGACAAATCCACTGGATTTAGATTGAATAAGTACCCTAGACACAAGAAATGCCAAATGGGAACCTTTGTCAGGTTATCAGAGTGGTGCTACCACTAATTATGCCTGTAATAGATTCATTGACTGAGCATCGAGTGAATGACGACAAAACACACAGATGCAGGGGTGTACCAGGAAACATGGATGACAACAAGATGATAACAATCATATAATTCTTGCAATCTAAAATCCAAATTTATTCCAGGGATATTTCCAAAAGTAATTACGAAATCCTATGAACTTCCCCTGTTCTTTTTGACTGGTTGTGTAGGTTGAAGAAATTGATTAACATGCACCCTTTGTAATATCAAAATCTTCATAGATCACGGGTAACCAATCTGTTCAGAAATGTGTATAGATATTGCCTCAAAGGTTATTTAGCTGTCCTGATAGACGATAGCCCAGTTTCTTGTCATGCGCAGTTGTGTTAGCGAGCAAATCAACTCAAGACGCCAGAGATTAGTGCCCCTTTAATTTCGAAAGTCCATCTTGAAAGCCTTGTGTTTGAAAGTCCATCTTGAAATGCCTTGGATTTATAAGTCCATCTTAAAAAGCCTTGATAGCTTGATAAGCCTTGAATTTAAAAGTTCAACTTCAAAGGCTTTGATTGTTTAAAAGAACCTTAAATTTGAAAGTCAGTCTTGAAAGCCTTAATAGCTTGAAAAGCCCTGAATTTAAAAGTCCATCTTAAAAAGCCTTGAAATTGAAAGTCCATCTTCAAAAGCCTTGATTGTTTAAAAAAGTCTTCAATTTGAAAGTCCATCTTGAAGAACTTCATGGCATGAAAAGCATTGAATATAAAAGCCCATCTTTAAGAAGCCTTGAATTTGAAAGTCTATCTTGAAAGTCTTAAATTTGAAGTTCCATCTTGAAAAGGCCTTGAATTTGAAAGTCTATCTTGAAAGTCTTAAATTTGAAGTTCCATCTCGAAAAGGCCTTGAATTTGAAAATCTAACTTGAAAGTCTTAAATTTGAAGTTCCATCTCGAAAAGGCCTTGAATTTGAAAGTCTATCTTGAAAGTCTTAAATTTGAAGTTCCATCTCGAAAAGGCCTTGAATTTGAAAATCTAACTTGAAAGTCTTAAATTTGAAGTTCCATCTCGAAAAGGCCTTGAATTTGAAAATCTAACTTGAAAGTCTTAAATTTGAAGTTCCATCTCGAAAAGGCCTTGAATTTGAAAATCTAACTTGAAAGTCTTAAATTTGAAGTTCCATCTCGAAAAGGCCTTGAATTTGAAAATCTAACTTGAAAGTCTTAAATTTGAAGTTCCATCTCGAAAAGGCCTTGAATTTGAAAATCTAACTTGAAAGTCTTAAATTTGAAGTTCCATCTCGAAAAGGCCTTGAATTTGAAGTTCCATCTCGAAAAGGCCTTGAATTTGAAAGTCTATCTTGAAAGTCTTAAATTTGAAGTTCCATCTCGAAAAGGCCTTGAATTTGAAAGTCTATCTTGAAAGTCTTAAATTTGAAGTTCCATCTCGAAAAGGCCTTGAATTTGAAATGCTGCAGCCAGCTTGTTGTGATTCTACTAACCAGTTTCATTCTGCCTGGAGGTGCTACAGACTGCTGTTTCTTTCCCATTTCTTTCCCCAAAGAAAATGTTTTCAAAGTTTTCAAGAAATATGTGAAATTATCAGCTTTCTTTACACATTTTCAATGGAAGTTGACAGATGAGAAGTTTGTTGATAATGGTTTCGGTTCAAGGTTGTTTGTTTGCGGTGCAGTCAAGTATGGTGCTGTCACATAAACCCCAGCATCCTGCACTCGGAGCTCTGACTGAGCTCCGCCATGCTATAGTCTGTTTCAACAATGTCATGTCTGCGTTTCCTCATGGGAAGGGGGGCTAGGACTAAAAATAATTTAATGCAGGAAATACTGGGAAAAAATCAGTTTGCCCCAGTTTTTTGTGCAAAAAATGTTTGATGTCCTGTAGAGGTGTCATTGATTGGAAATTTAAGTATTGACATATTAACTCACATGTATCATGATATGTTCATGTATCAGTTAATAATAACAGTAATAATTCTTTATGTATATAGATAAAATATACCCATTAGTCCTTCATTTAATCAATTTAATGCCGAATATTAACTCGGTTAATCCATTTAATGTTCATAATTAATGGGTGGCCCAGTCGTCTAAGGCGCTGCGATTTGCTGTGCAGAGTTGCGTCCCTTGGGCATGCCAGAAACCTGATTGTGGGTTCGATTCCCGGTTCGCCCCGATTATGTTTCTAGGTTTGTCAGCACCATACCCGTGCTCGTAGGTTTCACCGAAGTGGTAAACGTCTAAAACCTGCATCACTTCGGGCTTTCCTCCCACATTAAGCTGACACACCGCGATATGACTGGAATAATGTTTAAAGCGGCGTTAAACCCAGCTCACTCACTCACTCACTCACACTCACTCACTCACTCACTCACTCACTCACTCACTCACTCACTCACTCACTCACTCACTCACTCACTCATAATTAATTAATTAATTAATTAATTAATTAATGTTTTGCCTTCTCAATGTCCATCTTAATGATGGTAATCTTAATGCGGGATTAACGTTTCTGTGGCACTGAATTATTCATTTAGTATCAATAGTCATAAATTTGTATCGATGCAGTATTTATCACTTCATCGATATTACGACACACTATTAGATCCTGAATGTACTGAAACAAATATTTGTCTTTCTTTTCAGAATCTTTTTGTATTTCTTTAAAATGAGTGGCCAAATAATAGGTACTGTATTTGACATAATAAGCGCCCAGTCGCTCTCAAAATTAGAAATATGAGGCTCTTATTAGAATATTATTTTGGTGAAAAACAACAGAGTTGAAAGATTGTAAATTTCATGGTTTATGCTGAGAGCCTGAAATGTTTATATACGACAGATATATTTTTCCAAAATTTGATATCCCATAATTAAGGATGCATATAACCTGCGTATTATATACGATTAAATAAGTTTTGTGTACATTGATCAATCGGAATTGCTAATTGGGATTGTTCACTAGCCAATATATTAGCAAATATCGCCGTGGGTGCTTATTAGAGCGGGCGCTTATTACGTCGAATATGGTATTCTGTCTATTGGAGTGGTAGGCATTTAAAGGAGTGAGTGGGTATGGTTTTACGCCAATTTTAGCAATATTCCAGCAATATCACTGGCAGGACACCAGAAATGGGCTTCACACATTGTACCCATGTGGGGAATCGAACCGGGGTCTTCGGCATGACGTGCAAAAGCTTTACCCACTAGGCTACCCCACCGCCCCTTGGTACAAACTTTCTGCTTGCATGAAGGCTGAATGTTACACTGGGCAGATTGCTTCAAGGAAGTGCCTGCAACTTTCCTTGGGTACAGGTCACGGAGTTGGCTGCATGATAACTGAGCACGCTTTGTGTCGGGGATAGCATCTTACACAGGCCGTAGTGTGGTGCCGTGCATGTGGTGCACATAGATCATACAGGGACTCTTGGTACCGACACATCTGTCACATTCCACTGGAGGAATCTTCTTGAAGTTGGACAGATAGAATAATTTACATGTAGAAGAATCCCCATATCTTGCTTGTGTCATTTTCAAAATGGCGGTGAGAGAGGGTGCCATTTCTCATGTGTCTTTATTGCTGATGTAGTTTCGATAAGTCGTTGTAAGTTAAGGTTGAACATAATAGGTCCCCTGTCAGTCTGTCTTACAGACCCTGATATAAATATATCAAATACAGCCCATGCAAGTCTATAATGTTTGGCAAGTCTAGATTACTGCAGTATCAGGAACAGTATCTGAAGTTGTTAGTTGAGGTTGAACAGAATAGGTCCCCTGTACACACTACTTATTGTGTACTAATTGTGAGTATGGGTTGATTATTTATTGGCTGATGTCATGGCAGTAATATTGGTAAATATAGCGTTAAACAGGTATGCAAACACAAACAAACAAAAGACACTTGATCCCTTTCCTTTTCAAACTCTCTCGCTGCCTCACTTCCAGACTAACTCTCTCTGTTGGTCCTGTATGGTAGACCTGGTCACGTTCTGTAGTACTGTGGGGTTGGTGGGGTAGCCTCGTGGTTAAAGCGTTAGCTCCTCACGCTGAAGACCCTGGTTCAAATCCAAACATGGGTACAGTGCGTGAAGCCCATTACAGATGTCTCCCACCGTGATATTGCTGGAATTCTGCTAAAAGTGGAGTAACAACATGCTCACTCACTCACTCACTCACTCACTCACTCACTCACTCACTCACTCACTCACTCACTCACTCACTCACTCACTCACTCACTCACTCACTCACTCACTCACTCACTCACTCACTCACTCACTCACTCACTCACTCACTCACTCACTCACCCACCCACTCACTCACTCACTCACTCACTGTTTCAGGCGGTGGTTCAGCATCGAGACCCGTCAGCTGGTGTACCGGAAGCGCTCCAAGGACTCCCAGACTGTGATGGAGGATGACCTGAGGCTCTGTTCCATCAAGCCCATCATGGACACCGACAGACGCTTCTGCTTTGAGGTCCTCTCTCCCACCAGGTTTGTAGGTTCCATATAGAACAGTGGGGGAAGCTCATGTTGTGTGACTCCAGAGGAGTTGGGGCTTTTCAGGTGCCCAATACGCTCTGAATTCAAGAATTCCAGAGCAAATTAGGTTATGGGCAACCCCTGCGTGTCCCGGTTGGAGATTCCAGGACAAAATATATCCCCTTCATTCTTGTATGCCAAGGGAATTCAGGTGCCCAGTACGCTCTGGTTGTCCAGAATTACGTCACCGGCACCTCTGCTTGTCCCCAGTTGAGATTCCATTACGAAATATATCTCCTTCATTCTTGTATGCCGAGGGAATTCAGGGGCTAGAGAGGTGCCCAGTACGCTCTGGTTGTCCTCCCTCAGGATTCCAAAGCAAAATAGGTCCCCAGCAACCACTGTTTGCTTAAGGACTAAGAACCAATATTAGGGCTCAGAATAACTATTCCTCATAATAATTCAAATGTGTGAAGTCCATTTCTGGTGTCTCTCGCTGTGATATTGCTGGAATATTGCTAAAAGCGGCATAAAAACATATTCACTCACTCATGAATATCAAGACCTGGATCAAGAATTGACATTCATGATTTCTCTTCCTTATCTGTGCCACTACTAAGTACCATTCAAAGACTTGCAGCTGCACATATCCTTTGCACTTTAATATTCATGATTGATTTTTTGTCCATTATTCAAGATCAGGTCCATGTGACGATGTGACTTAATGACATATGTGCATGGAAATTTCAAGTAATGCGAAATAGAAATTTCACTCTTCAGTTGGCGTGAACATTACTCACTAAGAGATCCCAGGTTGTATTTGTGCCTGGAGTTGTGTGTAGACGTGTGATGTTCACCTTCCTGTTGTAGGAGCCACGTGCTGCAGGCTGACTCCGACACCCAGTGCCTCCTGTGGATCAACTCTATACAGTTCAGTATTAACAAGGCTTACAGGGAGACACTCAACGCACAGGATTCAGTTGTGAGTGTTAGTATCAGCACAGGCACTTTCTTCTAATGGTGTCAGCACAGGCACTTTCTTCTCTTCGTATCAGCACAGGCACTTTCTTCTCTTCGTATCAGCACAGGCACTTTCTTCTGTTAGTATCAACACAGGCACTTCCTTCTGTTAGTATCAGCACAGTCACTTTCTTCTCTTCATATCAGCACAGGCACTTCCTTTTGTTAGTATCAGCACAGGCACTTTCTTCTATTAGTATCAACACAGGCACTTCCTTCTGTTAATATCAGCACAGGCACTTCCTTCTGTTAATATCAGCACAGGCACTTTCTTCTGTTAGTATCAGCACAGGTACTTTCTTCTATTTGTATCAGCACAGTCACTTTCTTCTGTTAGTATCAGCACAGTCACTTTCTTCTGTTAGTATCAGCACAGTCACTTTCTTCTGTTAGTATCAGCACAGTCACTTTCTTCTGTTAGTATCAGCACAGGCACTTTCTTCTATTAGTATCAACACAGGCACTTCCTTCTGTTAATATCAGCACAGGCACTTCCTTCTGTTAATATCAGCACAGGTACTTTCTTCTCTTAGTATCAACACAGGCACTTTCTTCTATTAGTATCAGCACAGGCACTTTCTTCTGTTTGTATCAGCACAGGCACTTCCTTCTGTTAGTATCAGCACAGGCACTTTCTTCTATTAGTATCAACACAGGCACCTCCTTCTATTAGTATCAGCACAGGCACTTTCTTCTATTAGTATCAACACAGGAACTTCTTCTGTTATGAAATGCACAGGCATTTATGATCAGTCAGGCACAGGCACATGTGATGAAATCAGTAAATGGTCTGTTCTGTGTTAGGATAAACAAGTCAGATGTATTTTCTTGGAGTAGAATATGCACAGACACTTGTGACGGAATGGATGCATACCATGGTATGGTGTGGTACGTATCAGTATCAGACATCGGTGGACCCTGTATCGTGTGTCAGGGATGCTGGTCAGAGTGCAGTACTAACACACAGGGTCATGTGAGGAGAGAGGTGGGAGGGGCACCCACGTGAATCTGGGGTCCTGTAACCCATTAACAGACAAAACCAACACCCTCCCACTGTAGATGATAGCATCATTGTGTAAGCTAGGGTTAGAGGAGGAGCTGGTTGATATAAGCATTGTATCTTGTAGATTGGCTTCAGTAAAGCAATGTGGTGATGCTTATGCTGTGTGTGTGGGAGAGGAGAGGGGAGGGGGAGATTGGGAATGGAGGGGGGGGGGGGGGGATCAGTCAATTTGTTTAAAAGTATAAATACTATAGTCCAATCAATTAAGCACTAGTGGGCTTGATGTGGCAAGGGTGGAAACAAGTCTTTGTTAAAAAGGCTAGTGGACGCTTTGCCACGGGAAGATGCAGGGTCCATTTCCCAAAGGTGTCTTTGCGCTGTGACTGTCGAACGTCTAAATTTAAGTATGGGAGTTACGATCGTCAAAGCACTATGTAAGGTGATCGTCTAAGCACTATGTTAGGTGATCGTCTCAGCACTATGTAAGGTGATCGTCTAAGCACTATGTAAGGTGATCATCTAAGCACTATGTAAGGTGATCGTCTAAGCACTATGTTAGGTGATCGTCTCAGCACTATGTAAGGTGATCGTCTAAGCACTATGTTAGGTGATCGTCTAAGCACTATGTAAGGTGATCTTCTCAGCAGTATGTAAGGTGATCATCTAAGCACTAAGTAAGGTGATCGTCTCGCACTATGTTAGGTGATCGTCTAAGCACTACGTAAGGTGATCGTCTAAGCAGTATGTAAGGTGATCGTCTCAGCACTGTGTAAGGTGATCGTCTCAGCACTGTGTAAGGTGATCGTCTAAGCACTATGTAAGGCGATCGTCTAAGCACTATGTAAGGTGATCGTCTAAGCACTATGTAAGGTGATCGTCTAATCACTATGTAAGGTGATCGTCTAAGCACTATGTAAGGTGATTGTCTAAGCACTATGTAAGGTGATCATCTCAGCAGTATGTAAGGTGATCATCTAAGCACTATGTAAGGTGATCGTCTCAGCACTATGTTAGGTGATCGTCTCAGCACTATGTAAGGTGATCGACTAAGCACTATGTAAGGTGATCGTCTCAGCACTATGTAAGGTGATCGTCTCGCACTATGTTAGGTGATTGTCTAAGCACTATGTAAGGTGATCGTCTCAGCACTGTGTAAGGTGATTGTCTAAGCACTATGTAAGGTGATCATCTAAGCACTATGTAAGGTGATCGTCTCAGCACTAAGTAAGGTGATCGTCTCGTACTATGTAAGGTGATCGTCTAAGCACTATGTAAGGTGATCGTCTAAGCACTATGTAAGGTGATCATCTCAGCACTGTGTAAGGTGATTGTCTAAGCACTATGTAAGGTGATCATCTAAGCACTATGTTAGGTGATCGTCTAAGCACCATGTAAGGTGATCGTCTCAGCATTATGTAAGGTGATCGTCTAAGCACTATGTAAGGTGATCATCTAAGCACTGTTAGGTGATCGTCTAATCACTATGTAAGGTGATCGTCTAAGCACTATGTAAGGTGATCGTCTAAGCACTATGTCAGGTGATCGTCTAAGCACTATGTTAGGTGATCGTCTAAGCACTATGTAAGGTGATCGTCTAAGCACTATGTAAGGTGATCGTCTAAGCACTATGTAAGGTGATCGTTTAAGCACTATGTAAGGTGATCGCCTCAGCACTATGTAAGGTGATCGTCTAAGCACTATGAAAGGTGATTGTCTAAGCACTATGTAAGGTGATCATCTAAGCACTATGTAAGGTGATCGTCTCAGCACTATGTAAGGTGATCGTCTAAGCACTATGTAAGGTGATCGTCTCAGCACTATGTAAGGATGATCGTCTAAGCACTATGTAAGGTGATCGTCTAAGCACTATGTAAGGTGATTGTCTAAGCACTATGTAAGGTTGCTTAGGTTGCTTTGTGGAATGAAGTCCTTGACAGATATGGATTGGTAGCATGTTTAGTCACAGACGGCTATATGCTGGTCCATCTGTTTCCAGGATGAAGAAGGTTTGGACAACAATGCAGTTCTGAACGGTGCTGCCTCGAATGACGTCAGTGCCATGAGGTCTCCCCTACAACCCAAACAGACTAAGGTCCAGGTGTAAGTAGCTGCGATGATAGTGCTGGTGACATACTCCACCATTCACTCACTCACTCACTGTCCCATTGAACTGTGAAGATCTGGCTTACAATAGGTCTTCAGCAACCCAAGCTTGTCATTAGAGGCGACTATACTTGCCATAAGGGTGACTTACGGGATCGGGTTGTCAGGCTCGCTGACCTGGTTGATATATGTCATCGTATCGAAATTGCTTGGATCGATGCTCATGTGGTCAATCACTGGGATGTCTCTCTCAGACTTGATTATTTACAGAACGGTGTCATACAGCTTGAATATTGCTGAGTGTGGCGTTAAACAATAAACTACCATTGCTAGCTGTAAAATAACTGAGAGGCTGTTCAAAGTAGCATCCAACCCTACTGACTCACTAGTGTATGCCCCAAATGTTGGTATTGGAAGTACGGAGGTCCCAGTAGTCCGGGTCCAGGGTCAGTGAGGTAGCCTAGGGGTTAAAGCGTTCGCTCGTCAAGCCGAAGACCCGGGTTTGATTCCCCCCACATGGGTACAATGTGTGAAGCCAATTTCTGGAATCCCCCGCCATGATGTTGCTAAAAGTGGCGTAAAACCAAACTCAGTCAACAACTAAGGCCTGTATCATTGTGGGTTTTCTTCCACGCCAAGCTGACATGCCGTTATATAACTGATATTGTTTAAAGATGCTTAACGGTTAAGCTCTCTCTCTCATTAAGTCACTAATGGTGTATTGTGTAACCCGTAACGACGATGCATGTATTCCAGTCGGATGGAGCAGCTGTTCTCGGTGCCAGGCAACGACCGATGCTGTGACTGCGGATCCCCAGAACCTCGGTGGGCCAGCATCAACCTCGGCATCACGCTGTGTATAGAGTGTTCCGGCATTCACAGGTCAGTTGTCTCTAATGAAGATGGTTCACAAGGAAATGCCACTTATCTTTCTTGAATGTTACTAGTCTCAGATTAGTTTCAAATTATGTGCAGACTGCATAGCTGGAATATTGCTAGGGCGGAGTTACATAGAGAATCTCGCCCCAGTGTCTTTTGATATCAAATATATCAACACAAGTTGATAAAAGTGGAAAAACTCCGAGGCTTGCTATCAAAAGACACGAGGGTGAAATTTTATTTATCATCCAACATCATTCTTCCAACTTTTTCAGTTTGTAGACAGTAATAAGCAGTGTCTTAGTGTGAAAAATACTGCTGACAGCTTCAGTAGCAGAGCCATTAGTGATGTCATTTGATTGTGACGTCATGGTAACCAATGATGTCACAACGGTCTGCACAGCATTGTGATGCAATTTCATTGCAGCGATATCTACAGTGTAGATATCACTTGATCTCACCCAAACCATATGGTCTTTAGGAGCCAGTTTTGGATGATTAAATGATTTGGAACCATGCTACATGTCGTCATCATTCCCTAGTAGTGAAGTACTTGGCTAAAATTGAATTTGTTTGGTTGAGACCATCTTCCTGAGGCAAGGGAATTAAAAGTCCAGTTTCCACCATTGCTGAAATAGGCTGGAATTTCTTTGCGCGATTTTGGTTGAACGGTGCATTCCAGCATAGTTCGGCAAGGGTTGAAACTGGACTTATATAGTCAGTGAACTCCCTTGCCTCGAGAAAATGGGTTGACACAGGTTGTCATAAGGCTGGCATAGTGTTGAGGCTTCCAGCGCTCACTGGGGCAGTCGGGTAGCCCACTGGTTAAAGCGTATCCATCACGCCGAAGACCCGGGTTCAATTCCCGACATGGGTAAAATGTGTGAAGCCCATTTCTGGTGTCCCCTGCCATGATATTGCTTGAATATTGCTAAAAGCGGTTTAAAACCTACTCACTCACTCACTCTGTCGCTCACTACTTGTCTTCTTCCTACCAGGAGTTTTGGGGTTCATCTGTCAAAAGTTCGGTCCATCACCCTGGATGCCTGGGAACCAGAGCTCATCAAGGTGATGGTGGAGATCGGCAACGAGGCTGTGAATCGAGTATTTGAGGCCAAGGTGGATGAGTCCGTGGCCAAACGAGCAACAGCTGAATCGAACAGGTGGGAATAGCCATGTACCCTCATCAACATCAGCTTCATCCCCATTTCATGATGGGTTAAATAATACTTGAATGTTCATACTGAGGTCATTTACTCTTACATCTTATAGTTTTATGCCGTTTAAAATGTAATATAAGATCACTGTGTGATAAATCGTAAAGAACAATGAAGAACAAAGTGTGGTTTATTTCACGATAAAACATTGTTCTATCATGACGTCATTTCTGGTGATTCATATTCATTCGAAACTTGATGACATCATATATTGGACGACGTTATTTTTTAGAGGGAAGCGCCTAGTTAGTTGTTCCCCATAGATGTAGCTGGGCTACGTAGATAAACGCAGTGGCTGAATGATTGATCCAAAGTGGGAGAGATGTGACACTCGGTAGTAGTGGGAGATAGGTACAGATATGAGGTGATTGACGTGAGGATTGTGAGAATATCCTTAAAGAACTGTACACAATGCTGACGTCTCATATTCAAAATAAATGACTCGTGGTCATTGTTGATCATACAATAAAACACTGCGGGGAGAATAAACCACTCCGGGCTGCGTCCTTCATGTTTTTTTCTCCCTGCAATGTTTTATTGTATGAAAAACAATGACCACTCATCGCTTATGTCTTGATTGAGTCTGCAAAAACTGCAGGACTTTGGCAGGCTCTCCATCTTGCCTGGCTTCACATTGCTAGAAGTTCCTTGTATTGGAGCGCCAAAGATAGGGTTAGAATGATTTGGCACACTTAGAAATAATGTTTATACCTTTCTATTGAAGCTGGTGATGAATGTACTGTCACACAAGTGTGACTGCACAGTAAGATTCAAAATTAATTTGGATATTTAAGAATAACTTCAATATCTTTTGCCTTTTGGGAAGTTTAAACATAAAACCTGTGCACACTGCTTAAACTCCCTATTTAATCACTCTGGTTTTTTCGTTTAAGCTTCCATAAATGCAAACCATATTGAAGGCAATTCTTCTAAATAAATAAATAATGGAAAAGATTTCACAGACTGCTTATTTGAGCATTAACACACAGAACTGCAGACAACTGTATGAAATTGTTCAGTGTATTGATGCATCTCTAGTCCCGCCTACCCTATTATCAGCCAATCAGGAAGCAGTTGTCCTCGTAGGCGTGGCCTAATAGTGTTTTGGGCTTATACGAAGATGTATAAAATAATTCAAAACCGCTCACTTCAGGATCATTTGTGCTCCGTGGCACACTTGAAAGTGAAGACATTTATATCCCTTCTGTGGTATCATCACAAGCCTTATAAATAATTGTAGAGTGTGTATCAAAATATTACTACACCTTGAAAGATAACAGAGCACAAGTATTGTACAGGATGAAATGAATCACACAAATAGAATGGACGGCATGGCATCACAAGTGACCTTTCTGCCACAGAGGCCTTCGTGTATTATGTTCTTTACAGACTTAGGGGCAGTCGGGTAGCCCAGTGGTTAAAGCATTCGCTCGTCACGCTGAAGACCCGGGTTCGATTCCCCACATGGGTACAATGTGTGAAGCCCATTTCTGGTGTCCCTGCTGTGATATTGCTGGAATATTGCTTATAGCGGCGTAAAACCATACTCACTCACTCACCCACTCACTTTACCCAGAACAATCCGAGAAGCGTGGATTCGAGCGAAGTATGTCCAGAAGGCGTTTGTCAATCATCTTCCGGACACAAAGACAACAGCGGGGAACAAGATCAGGAGCTGGAGTGTACGGAAAAAGACGCGGAAATCTCCGGCCAGGTCTGCAGCTAAGGAAGATTCCAAGGAAGATTCCAAGGAAGATTCTGTGTCCGACTCCGAGGATGTCACAAGTGGGCTCATGGAAGGTTGGAAACGTTTGGGAATTTTTGTTTCCAATTTTTGCTACATTTTCCTGCTTACCTTTCTTTTGGCTAGATTTCTTGAGTTGCTTATTTAGCACTTGCTTCAATTTGAATAATGATATGATTTTCTTAAGTTTGAAATTGATTCATGTAAGAATACTGAACAAACAGAATCTGAAGTATGTCTGTAGTGTTAAATGTGAGTGACAAATGTTCTGTGTAATCATTAGTTATGTGCATGCTGTATGCTAGGAAACCAAGAGTTGTCTCCCCTTGGTGATGAATCGCCATCAGGGGTGATATTGTTTAACAGATTTATTACATCTTGTATTGTTGAGTTCCTTTTCATGTTGTAAATACATTTTGGCATGATTGACAATCTTTAATCTTTTTTCAATTTCCACGTTGGTAATTTGCTGAAAAAGAATATTTTGTTAGCTTTACAGTTGCTTGCGTATGTTGACAGTCGCTGCTGTTATGAATTTACTAACGTTTTCCCTCATCAACTGTGCATGTCATTTGACAATGCTTTGTTTCAGGCGTGTTTTCATTTAATGTGAAATATCAGATATATAATGTTGTATGAACATATAATTAATTTTCAATAAATGTGAAATATTGGACTTAAGTATAATATGAACGTGTTAATGTAATATTATGATATTTGTCACCGCCTCAGTGTATATGGATATTTTATTGCACACAGAATCATGTATATATCTATGAATGACCCTGCACTCATGGCACCTATAGGATTGACCCCCGCACAGGCACCAAGTAGTACACATCTTGGACTTCTCAATTAGTGCAAACTGGTATACTATGAGATATATGACGCAAGCCTGATGACGGAGTCTTGTGATATTCTGTTCTGTCAAGTATGCTCAGGGGGCGGTCGGGTAGCCTAGTGGTTAAAGCGTTCGCTCATCACGCCGAAGACCCGGGTTCGATTCCTGACATGGGTACAATGTTTGAAGCCCATTTCTGGTGTCCCCCGCCGTGATATTGCTGGAATATTGCAAAAAAGGCATAAAACCATACTCACTCACTCACCCAGGAGGCTCAGGTAGTAATAATAAAGTGTGCTGACACAATAATGATCAGTTTTGTATGGCCTCGTGTTAATGAGAATGTTGTGTCCTCATGACTGAACATGATGCTAAGAGCCAAGTACGGGCTGGGAGACTAAGGCTTAAAAAATTGGTTCTCAGGCAATGGGTTTGGAAAATATAGTGCGGGCGGGCGGTGTCTTTCTTTTTTTTTGTTCAAACTAGTATGTAACCAAATAAACAGTTGGAAAGGGCCTCCCTACATAAATGTATTCCTTGATGAGTAAAACAATGGAATACAGTATTGGACTACTGTTGGACTTGAAATACTTAAGGTTTTGTTATATATTTTTTTTAAATGGAAATAAAAACGAAACATGCGGCAAACTTTATGATGATGCAGGCAGTGCCTGAGAACCAAGACTATTTATTTTTTTTAGCCTCAATTATGTTTGGCATAAACTGCGTCAAGGTCTGAAAAAATAGTTTGAAAGTGCTTTGACCTGCAAAAATATTTATTGGATTATGAAAATTTATTTTTCGGGGATATGTAAATAGTTGTGTACAACACAAATAAGTTTCTTCATCAATGTATCCAAGTAAAACTGAAGTCACCAAATTACAAATTTGTTCCCCAAATTAAGTAAGCAACCTAAACGCCCTCTTAGGTTGCCCCACCTTTTCGGACATATTGTTTTCGACCAATCACTAAATGGCCTGGCGGGCCTGTGTGCAAAATATGCATATGTCGGAAAGCACACATTAAATTCCCAATTTAAGTAAGTAAGTCACCAAATGAAACTGTCAGCTCTCAGGTTGGACTAACGAGCCTTGTCAAACTTTAGCTGGAATATGGCTCCATTACTGTGTTCAAAATAACTTTAAGTTGCCCACAAAGCAAGCATTTACAAAATTGATGTTGATATTTTCCTAAGCTAGGAATGTGATAGGTGTCCTTTGTCTGCACTCACTGCTGTGTCCGTCCCCCGCGGACAGATCTCGTCACCCCCCCACTCACTAACCTGCTGCTTCCCCCGTTCCATTTTCAGCGGTACTGTCGGTGTCCAACACAAATAAGGACACAGACAGTGGGAATGGCGGCAGCTCCTCCGATGTTATTGTGTTTGGTACTGACATCCAAACATCCACGGAGTTCAATAAGAGTAAGCTGGGAAGAGGGCACGTGATGTTTGCATGGGAGATGATGAGTCGATCAACAGTACTATCATTAAACTGGTTGGGATTAATCGTCAAAAACGAAAGTTTGATTTATTTGTCATAAGGGACTGCATTATTCAATATTTGTTTCAAATATGGGTGTTATGTATCTGGTTAGATTGGTTGAGAATAGTGTAATCTTGAAAATATTTGATTGCCTTTATAGATATTAACAATTTGCTAGTAGTATAATAAGCTAGCATTGAAGCAGAAGTTAGTCTTAAATCATTGAAGCGTTAGGTTTTGGTTTTGCTTGTAAGATGTGCAAAAAGTCTTTCAGCCTATAATACTCTCTATGTGTGGCTTAACTTGCATCAGTTGCTTCGGAATTGATGCATTTTCTATGCAATGTAATGAAATGATATTTAAATTCGTGCCATTTCCTTTGTTATTGATGATCATAAAACGTGTTGCTTGGGTGAACAAGCACATTATATCTCACCCCATGCAGTGAATGTAATTATGCTCCGAACACTAACGATGCATGGCGATTACGATGATGTTTGTGAGAATGGCATGTACAATAACGGCGACCCCTGCATGGTCAGTCACACAGACCCTTGACGTCGACATGAGAACTAACATCGGAAAATTGCAACCAGTTAACAAAGCATGGATTGTGATGTGAACTAACATGTATGATGAAGAAATGTGCTTCCGTCAGTCTATTTGATAAGAACTGTATTCTGTTGTATGTTTCTATAAGGGTAACGCTATTTTTCAGGGCATTGTCATTTGCAGAAGCCCGAGGTCTTCCATTAACTGCCCAATGAAGGAGGGCAGTTGAAAAGACACAGGGCTTTTGCATTTGATAATGCCCTGAAAAATAGCGTACCGTTATTATAGCTAAAATGGAAAGAATTTATTTTCAGATAAAAATATCAACAATATTGGTTTTGAAACATTTACTGCAATCAACACACAACGAATGTGACCAACTTTTACAATTATGAAAACGTCATAGAACAAGCCAGATGACGTCACTATTGAGCGTGACGTCAACTTTCCCTATCCTATGACGTTACCTAACAAAGGGCGTGATAATGGCCCATTGTCAAGCATATGAGGGCATTATCAAGTTACAGTGGCCCGCTCATTTCTGATAACATGCGGTTAAATGATAATTCTATCCATTTTAGCTATAAAATGTTATATGCATATCTGCTTGTAAGGTTGGAATATGTAAGAACTGACACTGTTATGACATCGTTGTACATGTATATCATAACTGTATTGATTGACTGCTGTGGTGTGTGACCAGGTGTCATCGTCATTGGAATTTCTCGGACAGGATCCGATGGTCGTGGACTGAATCTCCGATTCTTCCTGATCATGTGACTTGGGTACCAGTGTTTGTGGGTTCCCCCAAAGTTTCAAATGTCCGCGATATGAGTCACGTTTCGGCTTTCCTCCCACATTAAGTAGATAAGTTGTGATACAATTGAAACATTGGTGCCAAACTCACTTAATAACTCATGCCATGGTATAACTGAAATACTGTTCTGGTCGGCATTAACTCACTCACTCACTCACTCTTGCTATGGTATAACTGAAATACTGTTCCAAATGACATCCAACCCAACACCTCCCCTCTAGAGCTGACTTGACTCCAGCATGGACCAACTATTTCCTTGCAGTTTCATTCAGTACTGAGCTGGGTTTGGAAAGTTCGGAGGAGTCCGCGACGGAAGCAGATGAAGTTGAAGACCGGCGGTCCACGACGTCCTGGGAGGACATGAGTAAACTGGACCCCAACCTGCTGCTGTACAAGGCTGCGGAGGCTCGGAACCTCCCCGTCATGGCGGAGGCTCTCGCACACGGAGCGGACATCAACTGGTTGAACAAGGACGATGAGATGAAATCACCGATATTCAAGGCAGTAGAGACGGTAGGGACTAGATTCGGGGGTCGGGACAAGTCAAATTTACTATATCCCGAGTAATGATTACTTGTTTTACCCGTGTCCTGGCAAACAGTATTTAGATACACCTATAAAACGATCTGGTCATGCATACACTTGGGAGCTGGGAGGAGTCAAATTTGCTACCAACCCCCTATGACCCGGGAACCCGGTGTAGGTTTCAAGAGTTGGTACAAAATGTCACATTGGGATTTGTTTTACCCAAGTCCTGGCAAACAGGGTTAATATACCAATATAAAACTATCTGGTCATGCATGCACTGAAGCTTTTTTTGAGTGCAGCTTTATCTTTATTCAAACATGAAAGTCAGAAGGAGCGCGCATAGAAAGAAATGCAAACATAAGTGACCATGGATTTATTGTGAATACTAACAACGGGTCCGGATCGTCCTGTGGTACCCGGGTCCTACTCAGTACCCACCCAACCCGAGGTACCTGTAACAGCCCTGCTGTTTTGTTAGTTTCTAAAGTAACAAGGTTTAAAGTTAAGAAATTAAATCACGAAGTTCTCATCCTTATCTAGATGATAATGTTTAGGTTTAATTAAAACTGCTACAGCCCCAGCTCTGTATGTCTCAACAGAATAGATCCCCAGAATATGTTATTGGAAAAAGCACAGTAACAATGCAAAAGTGACATAACTCACAAGGGAAAATGGCTTCTGTCTAACGTATAGTCGACTGGTCTAGATACGTACCTATAGTTCTGTATATCCTGGTGACATACGGCTACTGACAGAGAGACCTGTGAAGATTCCGGGGTAGAATAGGTCTTCAGCAACCCATGCTTGCCATAAAAGGCGACTATGCTTGTCGTAAAAGGCGACTAACGGGATCGGGTGGTCAGGTTCGCTGACTTGGTTGATACATGTCATCGATCCCAATTGCGTGGATTGATGCTCATGATATTAATCACTGGATTGTCTGGTCCATACTCGATTATTTACAGACCGCCGTCATATAGCTGGAATATTGCTGAGTGCGACGTAAAACAACCAACCAACCAACCAACCAACTGACAGAGAATGGGAGTCACATGCTGTGCGGACAGTCTCCTACAGATAGAGGCCATTTTGTAAGGATAGCATGTACTGTGTCATGGGACAGTTAGAATCGCAGGACATCTTGTGGACCAGAAAATGGACTTTTGTATTGTGAGAGCCTGAAATCCATCCATCTTGTGACTGTTATTTCTTCCTTGATGTTATACATCATAAAATCGCACAATGAAATCAACGATATTCAGGGCAGTGGGGACAGTGGGGGACTAGATTCGGGGGTCGGGACAAGTCAAATTTACTATTACCCAATAATGATTGCTTGTTTTACCTATGTCCTGGCAAACAGTATTTAGATACAGGTATAAAACGATCTGGTCATGCATGCACTTGAGCATGTCCCTAAGTGATGTGGATTTTGCGCTATATCAATAGGATGATGAAGATGATGATGAAGATGATGATGATGATGATGATGATTATTATTATTAAATTAGGATTTCATTGAAGTTTGCCTTGAAATATGCTGAGATATGGGATTGACACAGGAAATGTGGAGAGATGCCATTGCATTCCTGGTCTTTACATGTATAGAGAGGGATGTTTACAGTAAACAATGGATCATTTCATTATTTTAATCAGAACTTGAGATACCTGTGGTATAATTGAGCGTGACTGTGAATGGTATTGGTACATCCTGCAGCCCATGCTGTTATGACTGTTATATCCCCCCTGATTGTTACAGGGGTCTCTGGCGGCCTGTGAGTTCCTGCTGCTGAACGGAGCCAAGCTGGACAAGAAAGACAGCCAGGGTCAGACACCACTCCACCTCGCCACGGTGCACGGACACACAGGGTCAGTTCAATACCTTAACCCATGGCTCTGTTGTACAGCCGATCTTAGTGCTAAGGTGATCGTAACTCCCATACCTTAGCATAGCCAGTTGTGGCGCTAAGGTTGTTTTGTACACTGACACCCTGATCACCTGCTGATGGACAAGTCCATGTATCCTTAGAGGGTGACAAGGTTCAATTAGCAGACCTAGCAAGTTTGATTCAAGTCTTTCAAAATCCAGATTGTTTGTCTGCACACTCATATTTATAGTTCTAGCCCAAGACATGGGTGGCCATGGGTGTATTATGTTAATAAAGAATAATTTGTTATTGATAAAAGTGAGTGAGTGAGTTGGGTTTAACGCCGCTTTTAACAGTATTCCAGTTATATCACGGCGTGTCAGCTTAATGTGGGAGGAAAGCCCGAAGTGATGCAGGTCTCAGATGTTTACCACCCAAGAGCATGGGTATGGTGCTGACAAACCTAGAAACATAATCGGGGTGAACCGGGATTCGAACCCACAATCATAGGTTTCTGGCATGCCCAAGGGACGCAACTCTGCACAGCGAATCGTGGCGCCTCAGACGACTGGGCTACCCGTGCCCCCCTGGTCATAGTGAGTGAGATGGCTATTGATAAAAGGGCATCTAGTTCATTGAAGGCTGTGAAGTTGATAAACTGAGGCCAGTGTCATGCTTCTTTACAATTGGGGGCACGGGTTGCCCAGTTGTCTAAGGCGCCGCCATTTGCTGTGCAGAGTTGCGTCCCTTGGGCACGCCAGAAACCTATGATTGTGGATTCGAATCCCGGTTCACCCTGATTATGTTTCTAGGTTTGTCAGCACCATACCCGTGCTCGTGGGTTTCACTGAACTGGTAAACGTCCGAGACCTGCATCGCTTCTCGCTTTCCTCCAACATTAAGCTGACACGTCACGATATAACTGTAATATGTTAAAAGCGGCGTTAAACCCAACTCACTCACTCACTTCTTTACAATTGCGAGAGATGACAAAATGGTGATCGGAAACACAGGTGGAAAACAATTCTATCTTACATTCAAGGATTACTCAATTTCATCACTCTCGTTTTGTGTTTCAGACAAGTGTGTCAGTTCTTAAAGCGAGGAGCCAATCAGAAGGCACAAGATAACAACGGAAAGGTAGGGAGTCGTGGCCAATCAGAATTCTTGTTACATGTGTTGACGGGTTGTGATGTGGTGAAGAGTAGACCTCTAGTTACAAGGCTTTTCATTCATGTAATTTGGATAGGCCACAAGTCATGGGAAATGAAAAAACAAAATTTGTTTTTAAATAGTATTTATGCCAAAAGAAAAAAACAATATATGTGTTCTTACAAGAAATATAATAAGAACAAAAAATCCTCCACCATCTCATCACTTGTACCCTATAAATGCAAAAATATGAATGATTGTGGTACTTTTTCCCATTGACATGAGTAATTATGCTGTATCAGTGTTCAAAACTAATCGGGGGAGGTCGGGTAGCCTAGTGGTTAAAGCGTTCGCTCGTCATGCCGAAGATCCGGGTTCGATCCCCAAAATGGGTACAATGTGTGAAGCCCATTTCTGGTGTCCCCCACCGTAATATTGCTGGAATATTGCTAAAAGCGGCTTAAAACCATATTAACTCACTCACTCACTCAAAATTAATCATGACAGTCATAACCCCATTGTAAAAAATTCAACAAAGTGATCTTAGAGCTTCAACTCAGCATTAGAAATTGGCACTAGTCCTGTAGCCCTTGCCAAACTGCCCAATAGTAAAGGCATCATAAGGACTAGTAGAAATTCGCCATTTTTAGGGGTTTTGCTCTATGTTATCACTATAAGGACTAGTGGACTGAAACTGTTTGTTTCTACCGCTGCGACTGTTTTAAGTCCTTGTGAGCTATGATCACTTTCTGGAACAGGGCCATAGGGGGATCCAAAGGGAGACCAACATCTCCCTCAACCCTTGTGAAAACCAAATGTATGTTGTAGGCAGTAAAATTATCTGAGGGAGAATTTGGATATTTTGGACCCCTCCCTTTTAAAAACTCTGGGCCCAGGAGGGTAAGGGGAAACCCCTCAGTGAAACACTGCTGTGTTGTGCTGTACATAACGACCTGGTTGATTGTATTTTCAGGATCCACTGGCTATAGCCATTGCCAACGCAAATGCAGATATAGTTACACTGTAAGTATGGAGTGATTCAATTTGCAAGACTGAGAAAAGTACATATGTTTCTCACTAGGCAAGTTGGACCAATTAATTCAAAGAAAAGTTATTGTTTTTTGCCATGTCCTGAATAATTAAATTTGGTCCTGTACATATTTCGATCTGAGGGCATTACAATGAAAATACTCCTAAGTGAGGGTATTCAAAAGAATCATTGTCACAGCTTTCTGCTGCTAGGGGACAGTGGGTTCACCTGGTGGTTAAAACCATTCGCTTGTGATTTGGCCTGGGTTCGCTTCCCCACATGGATACAATGTGTGAAGCCTTCTCTGGTGTCCCCCACCGTGATGTTGCTGGGATATTGCTAAAAGCGGCGTAAAACTTGACCCACTCATCTCTGATACTAGTTCCGCGATGGGGAGACGTGAAGCATGTTTCTATAGTCATCATTTTCCATAACATCTCCGTGGTCTCTTGGTAAAGCGTCCTCCCAGAGAGCGGAAGGTCGGGGTTTCTTGTTAAAACATGGTACTTTTTGTTACCCAGTCTGGCGCTCGGCATTAAGGGGATAAAACTGGTTGGGTCAGAGTCAGTATACTGTGTCTGAGTGGGGTATTCATGTTAAACTGGTATCTCATTGGGCTTGCACTATAAAATGGGCATAAGCCTGCACTAGTTCAAGCAACCACACACACACGTCACACACACGTTGCTATATAAGTGCAATAATCTTGGATACGACACCTCATCATTTTCCATGTATTTGTCACTTTTCTATGTGCACAATTACATCAAGCACTGGCTTCATATAACAGACATTGTCATAAGGTGACCTGGAATAGAAAGGTAAATGTTCTCTTCTTACACCAGGAACTTATTTTAACCATGTCATCGGTCCTACATACAAGTCATGCGTCACCCTGCCCTGTAGAACACTATGGCTCTGTTTCAGCCTGCGCCTGGCCAAGCTGAACGAGGAGATGAAGGACGATGCCTACAGCGGGAACCCCGGTACGTCATTAACAGGAATAGTCCTCCTTCACGTGTACATGGCCTGGCAATCCTGCGTCATTCAGCTGACGTACAAGACCAGTGCTCCAACACTGTCCCCTTGTGGCACCTGGTGGCACGGGTGGCCCAATTCGCTGTGCAGAGTTGCGTCCCTTGGGCACGCCAGAAACCTATGATTGTGGGTTCCAATCCCGGTTCGCCCCGATTATGTTTCTAGGTTTGTCAGCACCATACCCGTGCTCGTGGGTTTCACCAAAGTGATAAACGTCTGAGACCTGCATCACTTCTGGCTTTCCTCCCACATTAAGCTGACACGCCGTGATATAACTGGAATACTGTTAAAAGCGGCGTTAAACCCTACTCACTCACTCACTCACTCCTTGTGGCACCTCACATTTGCCATCAACACTGTAGTATACGAAGCAAGTAGTTGCACTAACTGAGAAATCCTTAAAATACTTCACTTGAGCGCTGGTTAGTTTGGAAAAATGGAAAAATGTGCCACAGAATTGTTGCTCAGCTGGTTTATTGGTGTGGGTTGTTCAGCTCTAATAAGGCTTTCAACCCGTGCTGTTTAGCTATTCTCTGGTGTGAGTATAGTCACAAATTAAAGAGACTGTTGAGAGAAAATGTAGCGGTTTGCTCTGGCCGAAAATAATTTATTCCCAACCCATCCAAACCTGGTAAAAAAATATACCACCTTGATAAAGACATGATGTAAGAAGGACCGTTATAGTCCATTTGATATGCATGATTTAAAAAATAAGAAAAACATCATTGTGAAAGTTATGAATGTGTTCATTTGTTCATGTCAACACTTGCATGTTTTGACTTATAGCAGTTCTAATTGCATCGGTATGGCTAAAAAAATTCTAAAAACTGGTTTGGAGGTTTCACAGAAGCATTTTTATACCAATTGAGTTATACCAAGGAATTCTGTCCATCTGTCCTTTTGTACGACCTATAACTTGAAACTTACTGCTAAGATTCTTTTCAATCTTGGTGAACACCTTCAATACCAATAGGAGGGGTTCAGTGCGAAGTTTGATTTTGATACAGTGGTCCTTCGTTATTGCGCTCTTTGGTGTAGCGCTAACTCGGTTATAGCGCGCGGTAAAGCATGGCTCCCACAATTTACTAACATTTTTAATAAACTCAACTTTTCCAATGACACGATGTTTTCCCCCCATCTCAGAAAACATTATCAGCTGATCACCATATACAGCTATTTTAAATGTTTTTACTTAGAATGTATTTAGTTAGACATTTGTGCGACCTATAACATTAAAACTACTGCATGGATTCTTTTCTAATTTAGCGAACAGTTTCCATACAAACAGAAGGGAGCAAAGTTTTGTTTTGATTTTTTGATTTTCTGAGAAAATTTTTTTTTTTCATATTTTGAACATAGAATGTTTTTTTACTCCAACATTTGTGCGACCTATAAGATGAAAACTGATGCATGGATTCTTTTCAAATTTAATGAACATTTTCCATACTAATAGGAGAGGTGCAGTGAAAAGTTTGATTTCGATAACTGGATTTCTGAGAAAATATTGCTTTTTTCATGATTTGAACATAGAAAAATGTTGGAGTCGAAGCTTCAATGGGGTATTAGTGAACCCTGCTCCCTTTTTGCCTGTTCTAATAGTTGAACATGATCAAGTCTTTCACCCAAGTCCATTATAACCATAACTATGTATTGCATGTCAAAGATCTAAACCTTGCATGTTTAAGAAAGGAAAAGTATAGATGTCGGCCCTTTGAACATTTCCGACAACGGTAATTTTTATGCGAATATTTACAGTTTACAGCTACCTTTAAATTTCCCTTTTCCAGTGGGCCAGGAAAAGGCTCTTCATCCTACCCCTCCTTGCTCTATGTTAATGTGGACATCATGCAGATTATCACAATCAAAAACAATATCATTTCTTGCGAGAGGAAGTCACTGAAATCTTAGAATTAGCATCACTAGTTCATTCTGGATCTTCTCCCCCCCCCTCCCCAAATGGTTGTAATTTTGCTGTTTCTATCATAATGCGGTCTCATGGTCAATATGGCAGAAACAGAGTTTGAAGTTACATGCCCAGAACAAGATGCTTTATTGACTTATGGTTGCATAAATTGAGTTATGATTGGTCACCGCATTCTCTGCATGTTATGTGGCGACTTGGTTGATAGCATGTCATCGTTTGTTGGTTAACGCCACACTCAGTAATATTCCAGGTATGTGATGGCGGTCTGTAAATAATCGAGTCTAGACCAGACAATCCAGTGATTGACATCATGAGCATCAATCCATGCAATTGGGATACAATGACATGCATCAACTAAGTCCGCGAACCTGACCACCCAATCCGTTAGTCGCCTCTTATGACAAGCATAGTCACCTTTTACGACAAGAATGAGTTGCGTGTCATCGTACCCTCGTGGTGTGGATTGTTTCTCATATCAATCATAGGTTGTCTAGTCTAGACTCGATATTCACAAGTTGCTGTCATGTAGCTGGAATATTGCTGAGTGTGGCATTCACAACGTGAATAAATTTACCAGCACTAAACATTCACCAACACTAAGCATTCACCAACACTAAACATTCACCAACACTAAACATTTACCAACACTAAAACATTCACCAACACTAAACATTTACCAACACGAAACATTCACCAACACTAAACATTTACCAACACTAAACATTTACCAACACTAAACATTCACCAACACTAAACATTTACCAACACTAAACATTCACCAACACTAAACATTTACTAACAATAAACATTCACCAACAGTAAACATTCACCAACACTAAACATTTACTAACACTAAACATTCACCAAGTAATGAGTATATTCTTCCATCATTCAGGTGATGAGAGCAGCACTTTCAACGATGTCTTCCGTGATTTCACCAACATGGCATCGAACAACCCCGAGAAGTTAAAGCGGAAATAACTTCCTGTCTTTCACTCCATGTCTCACGAGGACAAAGTTGTAGAAGATCACACGACACAATGGCTGTAAACAGATCGTGTAATCTATTTATGTTGTTAAGTTAGACAAAGAAATCTTAACATGACTCAAGTTATGTTAAAGAACGAATATTGTTTTGTTTGAATCAGGGATGTCAGATGCTGTCAAACCTTGAGGAACTAAGGAGTATACAGTCAAGTCCCGTTAATCTGACATGGTTGGTTGCATACGATTATGTTGGAGTAACAAGTATGTCGGATAAACGAAATTAAGTAGTAACACATTCGTGATCGAAAATCTGACAACTACATGATACGAATATGTAATGGAAAAAAAATAATCTGTTCCCATCATTAGTGTCGGATAAAGCCAAATATCAGATTAACGAGTGTCGGATTAACGAGACTTGACTGTATATGGCTTTACCGGGAATAGAAAGAATGGATGTTTAAGGATAAGCAGGACCAAGAAAAGAAGTTCATCTTTGATTATTGCACTTCAGTTTTCTCCAGTGTTATCTGCAGTCCACAGTTGTGTGTTTATGTAAGATACTGCTGCAGTAAGGATGTCTGCGGGTGTGGTTTTGTCTTAACCTTTGTGGTTGATGTGCTCAAATATATTTTATGTCTATCACAAATATCAAGGAGCGGTGGGATGACCAGTGATTAAGGTGTTTGATTGTCACGCCAAAGGTCTGAGTTTGATTCCCTACATGGGTACAATGTGTGAAGCCTATTTCTGGTGTCAGCTGCCATGATATTGATGGAATATTGCTAAAAGCGGCATAAAACTATACTCATTCACTCATGAATATCAAGACATGGATCAAGGATCAACACTAAGGGGGGCACGGATGGCCCAGTCGTCTAAGGCGCAGCGATTCGCTGTGCAGAGTTGCATCCCTTTGGCATGCCAGAAACCTATGATTGTGGGTTCGAATCCCGGTTCGCCCCGATTATGTTTCTAGGTTTGTCAGCACCATGCTCGTGGGTTTCACCAAAGTGGTAAACGTCGGAGACCTGCATCACTTCGGGCTTACCTCCTACTTTAAGCTGACACGCCGCGATATAACTTGAATACTGTTAAAAGCGGTGTAAAACCCAACTCACTCACTCAATGGTCCATGTGGATTGTGGGTAAGAATATAGATCCCCAGCAACCCATGCTTGTCTTAAGATCTTAGGTGACTAAAAGGATGAGGTGATCCGGCTTGGTAACTTGGCTGATTGCAGGTCATCGTTTCCTGATTGTGTGGACGATGGTCATGATATCAATCACTGGATTGTCTAGTCCAAATTCAATTATGTACAAACTGTCTGCATTTAGTTGGAATATTGCAGAGTCTGGTGTTAAACAACAAACCAACACAGACATCATCAATAACACTTGGATGGATGATTATAAAATGCCTACCAGTAATAGCACAGGTTTTTTATATATAATTGATGAAGAGTAACACAGAGACACTTGGAAAATAAGCAACAATGCTTTCGTGAAGATAAAAAAAATGTGTTTATGATATGTTGAAACATACTGTCAGTTGAAATCAACACAAAAAAAGATATGATATTTTAGTGTCATGTTTAAGTTGGCATTCACTTTCCTATATGCCTCTATGATAGTGAGTGAGTTTGGTTTTACGCCGCTTTTAGCAATATTCGGGCAATATCACATCGGGGGACACCAGAAATGGGCTTCACACATTGGACCCATGTCAGGAATCGAACCCGGGTCTTCAGCGTGACAAGCGAACGCTTTAACCACTAGGCTACCAGACCGCCCGCCTCTATGATAAAGTTTGTTTGTTTGTTATTTAAAGCATCACCCAGCAATATTCCAGCTATGTGACGGCGATCTGTAAATAATCAAGTCTGGACCAGACATCCAGTTAAAGACATAATGAGCATCCATCTACACAATTGGGAAACTATGACATGCATCAACGAGTCAGCGAGTCTGACCACCCGTCCCGTTGGTCGCCTTTTCCGACAAGCGTGGGTTGCTGAAGACCTTTTCTAACCTTGATCTTCACGGGTCATATGATTTGGTGTGGATATTGTTGGTTGATGATAAATATTCATAGTACCAACAAGAGTAAGATGGAAAGATTAGTATTTGGAAAATAGCAGAAAGAAATAAACCGATGTAAATACACACTTGCAGACATCCTTACTTGAGCTTGTTCAGTGCCATTAAATAATTTAAGTGCTGTAAAGTATATTTTTATGTATTTTCCACAAACAATGCATAAACTATTGACATATATTGTGTATCCAAGCAGTGCTTGAATGGTGTCTCTCTCTCTATGCTTGTCATAAGAGGCGACTAATGAGATCGGGTGGTCAGGCTCGCTGACTTGGTTGATGCATGTCATCGATCTCAATTGCGTGGATCAATGCTCATGATGTCAATCACTGGATTGTCTGGTCCAGACTCGATTATTTACAGACCACCTTCATATAGCTGGAATATTGCTGAGCGCGGCGTTAAACAACAAACCAACCAGCTTTGAATGGTGTCTCAGTATTGATGGCCACAAACAGCCAGCTCCATGAGAACAGACAAGTTAACAATGTGTCTATGTGTAACTTGTTTAAAACTCTTTTATGACTTTGTCCCTTGTCTAAACCAAGATGTATTCACTGTTTTGATGTCTCAGAGCTAAGCTACAGCTGTGTATTGTATATAGAACTTTTATACCACAGCCTTCATGGTCACTGTTGTATATTGTATCCAGCTGTCAGACACATATATATACACTGGTACTGTGTTACATATATAGCAGCTTAGGGGGTATGTATCACCTGCTTTCATTTGTAACAGGCATTCACCATGTTCTGATATCAAGAAAAAAAGGCATTCATTGTTGAATCTTTAGATAATTGTTTAGCTCTATTAGGCATGAAGAAAAACCTTGTTTCCTGTTTCAGCCGATCACAAATAGGGAACTTTTTGTTTGTTCTTTTCATTTCTTTGAAACTGGTAATTGGCAGTGTGTCAGTGAAAATCTGATCTTAAATAAAGATAATGACAACGAAGCGCTACAAATTATACCCATGGAATCCAAATGGGGATGAAAGCTTTGAAGCAGTTCGAGAGAAAATGGTTCAAAGTTGGAGCTCAAGATTAATTTTGGTCGGGAAATTCTTCAAGCCATCAGCTTCGGATTCAGATGTTAGATTCAATAAAGTTACCTCGTCTAGCAATCAAACTAATGAAATTAAATTAACAAGTTTTCAACTGTATCTTTAAGGCGTGATCCAGAAATCTGAATTTAAAGTATTATTTCTTGGATAATTCACATAGAGACCGGTCTCTTATACGTGGCATGTCTAGTAAAACAGTACCTGTAAATGAATTACCCCCATTTAGAAATTATACATGAGTATTGTTTCAAGACATGTGCTTGGTCTCCAATAAATGCCAGGTCTATTATTGCCAACAAAGTACTACCCAGGGGTGTTTATTTGAGGAAATACACGATCTATCTGGAATTTATGAACAGTTGTGTGTGTGTTTATATCATACCTTAAATCGGATAGCAACTTGAAATAATCCCAAGACTATCCTGCTTGGGAATATATATGGCAAGTTCCATTTCAAAGAAAAAGAAGAGAAAACATTGTCAATGGAAGTTGAAATTATGGACCTATAGTTTCTGCTTGCCTACCAACTGGTTTATTCTTTAGGTTAGATTTCAGCCCTTTCTAAATATGGATGTCTTGTAGTTAGTAGCACCAAGATTTTCAGCACAGTTTAGGTTGTGAAACTTGAGTGTTTGCCTTGTGATATTTTTCATTTGAAAATTGTCCAACTATTTTAAGATTCTTATTGACACCAAGTGGCTTAAAATGTCCATCAACCACCTCAGATTTATTTTCCTAATCCCATTTTCACGTGACGAGTGCTATTTTAGACTTGATCAGAAGCAGTAGTTTGTTTGATATTGTGGTCTTTTTTGTCACACAAGTTTGACTGACATGGGGTTTCCTGTGAGAAGGTCAGGAGCAGATGTTGGTCTGAAGCTGTAATGATTTCCCTGAACAGAGAAATAACCTTCTATCGATGCATGTTGATAGTTTGTAAACAGTTATAACCAGTGTCTAGAGTGTAAGAACTACGGCTTACCAACTTCAGTGCAGACAGAGAAGTGATGTCACAGTAACCGGTGACATCACAATTGTCTAAAGCACCATCTCCTGTGGAAACCGGTTTTGAATGTAAGGTCTTCAGGGGCTGTTTTCTTTACAATGTTGACTCTCCAATAATTTAATCGTTCACATTCTGTGAGCATTGTTAGTGCTAGAATGGTCACAGACTTCTTTTTGTACACGTGTAATGTTTTCATTGATAAACACAGACATGATAGAACGAGGAAATGATGTATTTGACTGGGAATCTCATTATGGAATATTCATGGAGTATGTCTTGAGGGCACTGTTTGAGTCAAATCTGATTTTGTTTTCAAACACAATTTTTTTCAGCCTTAAAAGATCATTTCTGTGTAAATATTTATAACTTTCATTGCTTGAGTTTTGTCTTAATACAGACAATAACAGAGTTAAACTCGATCATGTTTGTCCTGTAAGTGTATTTTGCTCAAGTCTTATATTTATTCATTTGTCAACCCAAAGTTTATATGTCCAAATATCATGTTCGGTGACCATCATTTTGATTTGGTGATTTGGTATCTTGATTGAAACGTTTACATGATCCCCACAATAGTATGATGACCTGCAGAGAAAGTTTGTGGTAAGTCTGTTAAATAATGTGGTACATGCGTTAATTTCTTTGAAATCTTTCAGCAGGTAATGGATCAAACACTTTTTTATATTTTTTTTACAGATTTTAGATTATCAGTGCATCCCTGCAACTAAATTTGTTATTCAATTTAAATCCATATTTGAATGTATATAACAAAGCTCTCTTAAACCATTTTAGGTGATGGAGATATGTTACCTGCAAAAGGCAAGCCATCATTTCTGATGAGTTTACTAAGGGAGAATCCAAGAAAACTTTTATTTTATTTATAGAAAATTATTGCTCACCAAGTTAGCTGTCCTGTAAGGACAAGATTCTGCAGTCCCAAAATCAGTATTAGGAATCCTGTACCTATTTCAAAATATACCCAGATAATATTACTTCATTATTTTGAAAAAAATAATATTTAAAAGAAGTGCACCCAGATGGATATTTATGCATTTTTTTTATGTAAAGAAGGGTAATTGTACTTGAATGAACTCTTATTACCAGATATTATTGGAATCCATCCAGAAGTCCAAAACTTCAAT